AAGCAATTATAGTATATAAAAAGTTTATCTAAGTGTATGAAGGAGGCAATCCAAAAATCGTCGTGCTTTTCTCTTGCTTTTTCTATGTTTTTATAAAAAACTTACCATGATTTACTTTACATACAATAACAACAAGTCTCATGATGGAGACATTACTGGGCCCGCTTGAGCAAATCGATGAACAACAGGAGGACCGTGACCGTGATCATAAAGTTCACCCATTTGGTTTTTGGTTACTTTGGCAAGAGCTGCTACCAGCATTATGAATCAGTTTTAGGGCATTTTGTGCCCTGTATAAGTTTCTTCCTTATGGAGTCAAACTCTTTTCCCACTTTCAGCTCCAGGTTTCTACTAATATACTATTATAAACTAGTCCTTTCTGGTAATTTTATAAAAATGGAATAATAAATCCGTGCTCTCTCTTTCTGGCTTCTTTCCTGTAGCATGTTTCATGATTCATACATGATATAGCATGTATTGGTAGTGCATTTTTAGCATCATTCTGTAGTATTCCAATATATTATAACTTGGTTTGTCCACCCACCAATGAATGCATATATTTCCAAATATTGACTAGTATGAAATACGTTACAGGCATTCATTTGCAAGTATTTGTCACTGTCACTGTCACTGTCCTCCCGTTGTTCATCGATTTGCTCGAGCGGGCCCAGTAACGTCTTCATTGGAGACTTTGTTGTTACTGTGTTTGGCATATCGAATACGTCACGGGGAGCTTGCCAGGCTCTGCCGTGCGGGCGAGATACTCTAGGTAGCTTGCCGGGCTCTCCGAGAGGGGCGGAGGACTCGAATTCGGGTTGGCCATGTTGGCTGCGTGCAAGGCAAATGCCCTACCGCTGTGCTATTGCAAGTATTTATATGATTTTATATTTGGTTTCTGTTGAATAGATAGCTAGGTGTAGAAGTAGATATATGGGTAATAATGGTAGGTATATTGATGTTTGCATTGTGAAAATAATTCAAAATTGTTCTCAAAACGATCATGTATATCCCTTTCCCTACTTTCAGCACTCACGTTTTGTTCACAATACTGGTTCCTTCTCTATCTAATACATTATAACATTACAGCACAAGTTACAATGACCAAAGGAAAGAGAGAAAGAAATGGAGAGAGAGAGAGAGCAAAAGAGCGAGAAGGAGAGAGAGGGAGAGAGAGAGGGAAAATATCATAGACGCAGACTGGGGATGGGGGGAAGGAGGGAAATTGGGGACATCTATGGTGGGAAATGTACATTGTTAAGAAATAGGTGTTGAAACATTGTATTAATGAAACCCAATCACAGACAACTTTGTAAGTGTTTATCTCATGGTGATTTAATAAAAAAAAGTTTAAAAAAAAAGTAAAAATTCACTTGACTATGATTATGTTGATGATGAAAACCAGACCCTGACCTTTATTTTGTGTGCCATAAAAACGGGATTTGGTCAGAAATATATCTATATGTATACATACATGGATGTATGTTTATATGTATATATTATTTTCATTGTTTTTCTCAAAAACTTTATGTGGTAGGCACCAGTGTTTTTATCCACCTACATATCTTGGGTGCTTTCGCTCAATTTATGTTTTTTTTTTCTTTTTGTGTTTTGAGCCACACCTGGGTATATCCATGACATACTCCTGGCTCTGTTGCTCAGTGACCAGTCCTGGCAGGGCGAGGGGGAACATATGTTGTACCTGGGATCAAACTTGTATATACCCTAGATCATTTTAATTGCAGCGGGTAGGGCGTTGGCCTTACAAGCGGCCAACATGGCCGACCCGAGTTCGATTCCTCCGCCCCTCTCGGAGAGCCCGGCAAGCTACCGAGAGTATCTTGCCCGCACGGCAGAGCCTGGCAAGCCACTCATGACGTATTCGATATGCCAAACACAGTAACAACAAAGTCTCCAATGGAGACGTTCCTGGGCCCGCTGGAGCAAATCCCTGGAGCGATAGCACAGTGGGTAGGGCGTTTCGCATTACATGCGGCCAACATGGCCGACCCGAGTTCGATTCCTCCACCCCTCTCGGAGAGCCCGGCAAGCTACTGAGAGTATTCGATATGCCAGACACAGTAACAACAAAGTCTCCAGTGGAGACTCTACTGGGCCCGCTCGAGCAAATCGACGATCAACGGGAGGGCCTTTACCTTTACCATTTTAATTGCAGTTTAACATTAATAATCTGATATTTGACAAGCATACCTTATACATCAAGAGACAATGACTGTATTGTCTAAGAGACAATAGAGGAGTAAGATATTTGTTTATATGAGGAGTTACAGCAATTTCTGAAAAAAAATTTAAAATAATTTAAAATACATTTTAATTTAAAATACATTATTGAATGTGATAATGAAACACATGTGCCCATTAGGCTGGACCATTTATATAATATGTCTAGAGCATTTTATTTATTAATTAATTTGTCAATTTTAATTTTTCCATTTTTGGGGGGTGGGAGGTCACACTTAGTGACAGTCGAGGTCACTCAAGATTCTGGAATTACTCAAGATTTACTCCTGGTGGTGCTCAAGTAATATATAGGGTGCTGGGGATCAGACATGGGTCAGACATGTGCAAGGCAAGTGCCTAGCCAACTGTAGTATCTCTACAGCAGTATCTAGAGCATTTTAGGTGACCAGAATTCAAACTAGTACTTAAAAAGTATCCTATGACTGGTACTTTCCCCAAATAATTCTAAATCAAGCTTACTGATCCTTAAAATATAAAGACAGATTAAAAGGTAAAGGCCCTCCCGTTGATCGTCGATTTGCTCGAGCGGGCCCAGTAACGTCTCCATTGGAGACTTCGTTGTTACTGTGTCTGGCATATCGAATACGTCACGGGGAGCTTGCCAGGCTCTGCCGTGCGGGCGAGATACTCTTGGTAGCTTGCCAGGCTCTCTGAGAGGGGCAGAGGAATCGAACTCGGGTTGGCCATGTTGGCTGCATGCAAGGCGAACGCCCTACCACTATGCTATCGCTCTAGCCCAAAGACAGATTAAGTAGGTATATTCTCTGATTGTAGAGATCAGTTTTGATTATTATTTTATCTTTGATATCAGAGGCACATATAGATTTGTTGCTCATAGGTGGCAACATGTAAATGATCACTTTTCAGAAATCCTTAGAGATATTAATAGTGATAGGTCAAAGAAAGTATATACATAGAAGTAACAACCAGAGAAACGTAAACTGCAGGACTGAAGATTTAAGATTGCTAAACTATTAAATCCATTCTAGCAAGGTAGCTCATCCTTGTGCTTTAAATTATTTATTTGCAGTTTTCCTCAGAAGACCAAGCTAAGTATCTGTGGGTTCTTTAATTGCATGCAGTAAAAATTTACTTAGTCTCATAGGGAATATTAAGTTATGGATGGTCCAGTGATGAAAACTTCTGGAACACAAGATACTTAGGTACTTAAAAGTAGGAAAACCAAGTTATTCTGAGTATCTTAAATAACATATATAATATAAATTACTCTGAAAAGTTCTTAGGCACTTATAGAGTACAGTAACTTTATACTGAGAGACGGAAACCAGACCTTACCTGAGTCAGTTGTACCAAATGAAATTAAATGATATCTAGACAGTCATCCATTTCCATGCTTTTAATAAGCTTAATCCTAACAACTCCCATAATATTTAGTTTTTGTATTAAAGAGCTTTAATAATAGATATTTAATATTTTCTCTTCCTCCAGTTGACTTTAACTCAAGAGATAGGCAAAGATGTTGATTGGTTATGGTATTGACATGCTTCTTAATGGAAAATAAAGGAAAAATTCAACACTGAAAAAATTGCACCATTTTATTTTTTTCTTAAAAACCTAAGGGTCTTATGTCTGTTGACTAGATTATCTATGTTCTTAACAGTGATCCTTAAAATATGAAGACAGATGTAGGAAACATGAAGATACCAGGGGACGAGCTACCTATAGGAAAGTATTAGTCAAATAATCTTTCCACTTTTAGGCACTTAAAGTAACTTCTTTAGACACAGGTGATGATTAGATATATTTTAAAGGATGTGTCTGGTGGCAGGTAGCCATTGATAATGCTGGTGTTCATAACTGTGCAGATATGATAGATGATCATGATTATCTGTAGGAAAACATTTTTCTGTCCTTTCTGCATAGCCTCAGGTAGCTTAGGTTTATTGGGTTGCTCCCATCACAGTACTCCCATTCCTCTATGTTTATTTGTAACTTGTTTCTTTGTGCTCTGCTGACTTGCAAATATTGTTTTTCTCTTCTCCCTATGTCCCTTGCATAGTTTATTCAGAGCATTGTACTTTTTGTATGGATACAAGAAGACAGTATATGCTATGCCTTTGTAAGTTGACTGTCAATGTTATTTTTCTCCTGGATATCTGTTCTCTTGACCTAAGCCTCAGCTGCCCTTACATCCTAGCACCCCAAAAAGCAGGGTCCTGATGAGGGACTGGATGGAACCAGGGCAAGCAGTAAGTTATATGCTACCCTGGCATCGAGATGGGCCTAGCCAAGGTGCTATATGCAAAGTTAAGAGCTTTGGTCATGGACAAATGCTGTCATTCTTCAAAAAGTAATAACTAGATTTGGACCCTAGGTTCCCATGAGAGCTGCCCTATAAGCCTCAATGTTATCTCTTACTGTGTCCATACAAAAATAACTAGTACTAAGATCTTGATTTAGTTTTTGGATCGAGGAAAGGGGAAAAATACCTTAAGAGGTATTTTGCCTGGGGCAGTCAGGAAGGGCTTTGGAATACCTCCTAGGTGGTGTTTTCTTTGAACCTAGGGGGTCCTGAGGAAGAGCTTTCTTATGTTGATTTTGCTACAAGACTGGGTGTAGCATGGGCCCAGAGGGCAAGGGGGAGAGAGACTGGTGGATGAGAGGAATGAGAAGCTAGGAAGGCAGAGTGCTGAGATGGAGATGAGAGATTGAATAAATGTCAACTAATCATCAACCAGCTTGGACCTCATTCTTCCTTCCCTTGCCCATCATGCCAACAGACATCCGGATCCAGTCCATACACAGCAGCTCAAGGTCACTGAATGCAGGCAGTGAGAGAAAGCTGCCTGGAGAGCCCTCGAACACATACCCTTCGACGTGCGTATTTCTTACAATTATGTTGTACATAAAATATAAATTCAAGTACAGTGGGTAGGGCGTTTGCCTTGCACGTGGCCTACCCGGGTTTGATTCCTCCGTCTTTCTTGCAGAGCCCAGCAAGCTACCGAGAGTATCCCGCCCACACAACAGAGCTGGGCAAGCTACCCGTGGCATATTCGATATGCCAAAAACAGTAACAACAAGTCTCACAATGGAGACGTTACTGGTGCCCGCTGGAGCAAATTCATGAACAACAGGATGATGGTGCTACAGTGTTACATATATGTTGCTACACATTTTTTAAATTCTTGAAGAAGCTAATCTGGAAAAATTATAATAAAATGCTAGCAAAAGTAGGTCTCTTTGTTAAGGACAATTTCTTTTGTCTGCCTTCCAGTTTCTGCATGTGGTTATGTCATATAATATACCAAACAACTGATAGCAATGAAAGCAATCATTAAAATGTTAGTGTAAAATACATCTTTAATTCTTTTCTTTTGTGGGGTACATCTGGTGGTTCTCAGGGTTCTGACTCTTGTTTCTGCACCCTGGAATCATACCTGGCAGGACTGAGGGGACCTTACAGGGTGCTGAGGATTAAACCCCAGTTAGCTACACACAAGGCCAACTCCCTGTTTGAGTACTGTGGCTCTAGCCCCTATTATTTTTCTTTGGTTGTAAAAATTTATTGTAATTATGTACTTCGTAGAAGCCTCCCATGCATAATATGAATTTTTTCTATTTTTTAAAGCAGATTGCTATATCGTTTCTTTTTCTTCAGGTTTTGGGCCATGCCCTGAAATACCCAGGGGCTAGTCTGAATATGTTTATGTAGGTAAAGCTATCTTCCCTCTCCAACAGATGCTGTCCTCAATTTCACTCTACTAGGAGAAAGTGTTGTATAGAGAGTTACTCACATTAAGGAAAAGTGTAAATATCATGTAGAGTGAAATCCCAATCTAGACTAATTCCCACAAGAGCATGCTCACTTTACTAGTGTACTTGTCTATCTCGGAACTCGCAAGGGATTGGTTAATACTCTTGAGCTCTTACAGATTAGGATAAATTGAGGAAGGAAAAACTGGTTCTCGATTTTATGTTTTGCAAGAACAGAATTTTTATATTTCTGGTTGAAGTTTGCAACTGTCCTGGTTGGAACATTTGTCAACCGGAGTCCAATGTGTGGAATTGGCAGTGGAAGCAAGTCAGAGTTGTTGGCCACTTTCCTTAGGATCGTTGATCTAGTTTCCTACTTAACTCTAGACTGCGATTAAATTCTTGTCTGATTTCAGGGATCGCTCAGTGAGATATCTTGGGGACAGAAGTAACTGGCCATATTTGGTAATCCTGGACAGTTTTCCATTCTCGCAAATAGAAGAATGCGTGGAAATCTGTAGGCTATGCACAGGAAAATGATCCCCTGCTCAGTGAATTGTGAAGACAAAGAGCAACTGTAGGTCCAACCTGATTCCAGGGCCTCTGAGAGTCAGATATCGTGTGATCTTCCAAATGGACTTTCAAGGAGAGGGTGGGTGGTGCTCCCCGGGATTGTTACACTAACATCCTTTGTCTGACAGCAAAGAAATTTCCCTGAGCCAGTGTGTTTGGTCTGGAGATGAGCCCAAAACAGTTATACACTGGAGCAGTTGAATTTGTCTCAAAAAAATATCTGTTTATACTGGCTGTTTGGAATTTGAATGGGGAGTAGGAGGATCCAGCTGGTGGCTGTGAAGTGTGACAGTGTTTATTTGAATTAGATGGCTAAAAAGGGAGTATCGATTCAGGGAAAGAAACTCTTTTCATTTGAAATGTCCCCACTTTCCATCTCTGTGTGAGTCTCCCACATTCTCTTTTAGAACGGATCTGACACTTAGGTTTCGGTTTCAAAACAAAACAAGAAACGAAGCCACTAGATTGTCTCTGTCTTCCCACTGTACAACACAGTAACAGGCTGCCCGTTGGAGTTAAAGAATGTGAAGAACACAATTTCCATGCTGTTGGGAGCCCTTCATCATAGATCCCCAAAGGCACCTTGACATGCTCAGAATTATCTGCATCTCAAAAAATGGAGAATTGAGTTGATGTCAATTCTCAATTATTATTCCAGAACTGTTCCCATCAACTCAGAGTTGAATGCAGTTCCTTTCTACCAGATGCTAGTCACACTGAAACTTCTCCTTCAGTCACTAGACTTTCACCCAGTTAAGGCATTTGGGGACCTCATTATGTGAATTCATATATACTGTGCTCTTACTGTCCCAAAGAGGAGTGATTTGTAACAATTTACCGAGTAATAAATAAATTACTATTGTGGTGAAACTAATGACCTTTAATCATGGAATTTTTGTTGCATCCTTAATGAACATTGATTACCATCATGATTTTAATGATGTGATCTGTTACAATAAATTTTTAAGTAAACACTGTTACACCTGCATGCAACCAGAGCAAGATTTGAAATCAATCCAGCAGCAAAAGTTCTCCTTCTCGTCCTCAGCTGCCATTTGTTGGGAAAGGGGTTTAAAGTGAACATTTAGACATTTCACAAAACTAGCTTTCTGGCTCAATAAATTATTTCTTGTTAGAACATTTTTTTTCTGGCTAATTAAGATGAATTGTTCGTAATGAACAGAACCTGGCATTCATAGACTGGCTTGAAGACTGAATTCTAAATAACTAAAAAAAATAGGAGCCTCAGAATTAGAAAATCACTACTTCTATAGTTTTTTGGTCAAAGAGAGTATGTATTCATGGTGCACAGTACTATGCATATGTAGCTTCTTTTCTGAAAACAATATCAATAAATGAAACAAAATTTGCTTGCTTTTTAGGGGTCAAAATGTCTGTAAGGGAGTAGGTGATGGCTCAGAGGAGTGGAGTATATGTTTTGTATGCAGAATTCAGCCAAGTTCCATACCAAGAGACACATGACCTTCCAGCACTGACAGGTGTGGTCCTAGAGGACTCCTGACTCCAGCTGGAGTGACTATGGTAGCCTCCAATATTGCAATATTGCCAGTCTGAGCACCAAACCACCAGACCTGTACCACAGGGCAGAATATTGTTCAGAGTGGACTCTGAACCCCCCAGAGCTCTTATAGAGGTCCTATATAAAAATTGATCAATAAAATAAAACAAAGCAAAAATGTTCTTTAAGATAATTAGTTCAATGTCTTGATATTTCTTGGTTGCCTCTTTTCAGTGGTTTTCATTGTTTATTTTTAAAACAAAATTTTTTTGGCCATACCTCGTGGTTTCAGAGGTTTCTCCTGTCCCGGTCACGGTCACAGTCCTCCCGTTGTTCATCGATTTGCTCGAGTGGGTCCAGTAACGTCTCCATCATGAGACTTGTTTTTACTGTGTTTTGGCATATCGAATACATCACGAGTAGCTTGCCAGGCACTGCCGTGCGGGCGAGATACTCTTGGTAGCTTGCCAGGCTCTCCGAGAGGGCCGGAGGAATCGAACTCGGGTCGGCCATGTTGGCCGCTTGTAAGGCAAATGCCCTACCGCTGTGCTATCGCTCCAACCCAGTGCTTGGTAATCACTCCTGGCAGGACCAGGAATTGTATGGGATGCCAAGATTGATCCCATGTTGACTGTATGCAAGGCAAGTGCTCTGCCCGCCACACTAACACACAGCCTTCACTTCAGTGATTTTCTTAGGCTTTTGAATTTCTTCATTTCTTCAATTCCTATCTTAAATGATAACTTAGAAGGTAAGCATGCTTATCTAACCAATTTTGCTTAAATAACCTATTTTTCTCTTCTACAATGGCATAAGATTGAATTAGATCATCTTTTATGGGCCCCAAGAGCTTGGAAATATCATCATTCCAACTAGTTTTTCCTTCATTCTTTTGTTCTCTCATTGCACTCTGAGTAATTGTTGTGCTTAGAGAGCTGCTCTTCAAAGATCCAGTCCACTGCTTCCTAAACCACATTAGAAGCGAGAAGGAGAGGATGAAGGCAAAGTTAACTCCAGAATTCTTGAACTGCTTGCTAGAACTCAGGAATCCTAAATCCGAAATCAGTGGTCTTAGAAATCAGTGGGGATAAGATACTACCACTGACCCTACGCCAAGCAGTCTTCACTTTGGCTCCTCAGAGGGGGGTCAGGTTGAATTTCCCTCCCCACCCCAAACAGAACCCCGGCAGCCAAAAACCTCCAGAATCCAGCCACAGCCATGCTCAAGGCCACTCTCTACATGCTCAGACAAGCCTCACACATGAAGGAACCGGCAGAGGAACCCAGGTATGCGGGACCCGTGACTGAGATCTCCAGGCCTTCTCGGATCCGAGATTGGGCCCCCTCCACGCAGATTCCCCCATTTTCCAGTAGCTTGGCAGTCACACCCACAAACTGCCCCCGGCGCCATGTAGTCCCATCAATGGCCAAGATCCAGAGACTATAAAATAAAGCTCCTGGAAGCACATGGCCGCATTGGCAGCTGTGTGACCAACCTCTTAAATTCTAGCCCACTGATGTACCTAAAGCAACACACATGTGTTTGGTTTTTAACATACTTTCTTGTATTCTCTTAAGAAGGGCTTAACTTCTGTCTGTCTCAGAGAGCCTGGCAAGCTACCAAGAGTATCCCGCCTGCACTGCAGAGCCTGGCAAGCTACCCGTGGTGTATTCGATATGCAAAAAAAAAAAAAGTAACAATAACGGGCTTTATTCCCCTGACCCTGAAAGAGCAGCGTTGGGAAGACGAGTAAGGAGAGACTGCTAAAGACTCAGAACTGGGACGAAAGGAGACATTACTGGCACCCGCTCGAGCAAATCGATGAACAACAGGACAACAGTGATACAGTGAAGATACCACCTGGGCTAATTCTATGGTAGATGTACTATGCACCTATGCACCAAATGGTTTGGTGGCGTGTCTAATGTTTCATTTAATAACATAACATTTAATTGAATACTTTTCAATAACAAGCTCATTTTGTAGGGATAATATTTATTATAAGCAACAAAACTTAGTTAACATCCAGCAGTTCTAATTTTTTAATGAACCATGCTTAATAGTCAGGTATCTCTTTTTTTAGAAAAAGCTTCTTTGTATGGAGAAATTAAAGGGGAGAGAACATTGAGATAAGACAAGAACACTCAGTGCTCACTACCAGAAAAATCATTTCTCAGTCTCTACTTAGAGAAAAATGTTTCAAGATCTCAAATTTCATGTGGTCTAGCCAGGTTTAAATTAGGATGGCTGATGGATTGAATATGTAGTTATTTTAAGCCATCAAAAATGAACTGGATCATTTTCTTTTCATTTTA